TCATATATATATACATTCATACAAGTACGTAGTATTTAAATAGACCATGTTTTCCCCATTAATATTTTTCAAGTAAAAATTGTCCAACTTCAAACTATTTGTCGAAACACATCATTTTATTAAACATTCAAGACTTACCCAGTAGGATAGATTTCAAACCCAGAAATGTCAACTCTGTTGATTAGTTTCTGTCATCTGCAGCCTATGTTTCATACAGGATACGTCACCAAACAAACTAAATGAATAGTACAAAACAGCCAGGAGCCCAGAGGAAGATAGGCCCAGAGCTTTAAATCACACTCTGAAGCTGCCCTCGATCAAGGAACCCCTCCTTCCATGACCTTGACTCATATACCTCAGACTAAGGGAATATTAGTTCACCTCAGGAAGGACAAGAGAAGGAGGGAGTAGAGAAGGTAGGACACTCTTCTTAATAAATCATATGGCAGTGGTTGTGAGCCAGTGAATCAGTTCTGACTCATAGCAACCCCATATAGGGTTTCTGAGGCTGTGAATCTTTCAGGGAGCAGAAAGCATGAACTTTCTCCTGTGAAGCAGCTGGTAAGTACGAACTACTGACTTGCCGTTAGCAGCCCAACTTGTAACCCACTATGCTACCAGGGCTCCTAATATATTATATGTTATTGTTGTTTAGTACCATGGAGTCAGTTCCGACTCATAGCAACCCTGCATAGGGTTTCCGCGGCTTTAAATCTTTACGGGAGCAGAAAGCCTCATCTTTCTCCTGCTGAACGGCTGGTAGTTTCGAACTGCTGACCATAAGATTAGCATCCTGATTAGTAACCACTATGCTACCAGAGAAGAAATTAAAACATAGAAAGGACCGCACATGTTTATCAATTTTATTTTCATCTACACGCTTACATTCTATGCAACAGTGATATGTATTAAAACTACAATTTCAGAGATTAAGAAGGAGGATGGTGGGAGAGAAGAGTATAAGAGAGCATTGACCTACTTCTGCCCATGAAGACTTAAAATACCTGAAGAAGTCAGTTTCAAAATTTGTCATATTTTACTATAGTTTTTCTAATGTAAAATGGAAGCATATGAGAGAAAAATATAATAGGATTTCTTCTATGGTAAGCTGTTTCTCAATGTTTTGATTATGCCAAAATCTTCCTTTTACAGTGCCTGAATTAACAACTTAGTTATGACATCATTTAATACAGGAATGTCTTCTGTCAGATCAATAATTTCAAAAGCAAAGTGCACAGATGTGTAGAGATATAAAAAAAAGGGGTGGGGATGTCAAAAGCTACATAGTCACTGCTATAAAGGTGAGGTGTTTAGAAAAAAGATCAGATGGGATTTATAGGATAGTATTTGGGGAATCATGGTGTGGTGTTGTAAGATCAGCACTGGACTGTAAACCACAAGGTCTGCAGTTCACACCCACCAGCTTCTCCTTGAAAACTCTAAACAGGGTCGCTATGAGTTGAAACCAACTCTATGACACTTAACAGTAACAACATTTGGAAAATCATAGGGAGAACATTTCCTAATAACTCAGTAACAACCTGTGCTATGCAGATGACACTATCTTGCTTGCCAAAAATGAAGCCTAATTGAAGTGCTTGATGGTAGTTGTGTGCCATGGAGTCGGTTCTGATTCATAACAACCCCATATAAGGTTTCCAGGTCTATAAATCTTTACCAGAGCAGAAAGATGCATACTTTTCCAATGGAACGGCTGGTAGATTTGAACTGCTGACTTTGTGGTTAGCAGCCCAATGTATAACCCGCTATGCTACTGTTGTTGTTGTTGTTGTTGTTGTTGTTGTTAAGAGGCATTGATTCAGTTCTGACTCATAGCGACCCTATATGGGTTTTCTGAGGAGCAGCTGGTCGGTTTGAACTGCTGACCTTGTGATTCAAAGTAAAGGCCCTTAGTTGAAGTCCTTTCAGAAGGTAAAAAACGATGGCCTTCAGTATGGATTACACCTGAACATGAAGAAAACAGAACTCCTTATAACTGGGCCCAGAAGTAACATCATAATAAATGGTGAAGAAATTGAAGTTGCCCAAGGATTTCATTCTACTTGTATCAATAATCAACTCCTATGAATACAACAGTCAAGAAATCAAATGCTGTATTAGGAAAATCTGCAGCAAACGACCTTTAAATTTTTAAAAACAAAGATGTCACTTGGATGATTAAGATGTGCCTGACCAAAGAAATGGTCTTTTCAATCTCATATGCATGTGAAAGCTGGACAATGAAAAACACTGAAGAAGAAACGAAACATTTGAATTATGGTATTGGCAAACAATAGTGAAGAGTCCTCTGATGGCCAGAAGAATTAACAAATCAGTTTTGGAGGGAAAACAGCCAGGATGCTCTTAAAAGCAAGAATGGTGAGACTTCTTGCTTGGTTTAGACACATCATCAGGAGGTTTCAATTGCTGGAGAAAGGAAAAGTGCTTGGTAAAGCAGAGGGTCAGTGAAAAAAGAAAATCTCAATGAGATGAATTGACCCAATGGGAATGGCTACAGAAATGGGATCAAAAATAACAATGGTTGTGAGGGTGGTGAGAACACTTTGTTTTGTTGTGCATAATATTACCATGAGTCAAAGGCAATGAGTTCTGGTGTGGTGCTGTGGGTTAAAGCTCTGGACTGCAAAGTTGGTTCGAATAGCAACGGTGGTTCAAGCTCACCAACTGCTCCTTGAAAACCCTGTACAGGGTCGCTGTGGGTCGGAACAGACTCAAAGGCACTTAACAACAATAACAAAACCAACAAAAATAATGGTGGGGGTGAGTGAGGGAGGGGGGCCTCCTAGTCAAGGTTATTAATTCATATCAAAAGAAAAATTAATTAGTCTGATTTATGAGGACAAAAATAGCAAAATTTGTGATTTTTAAGTCTGTTTGTAAATTCATAGATAACAAGGAAGCCTGCAGTTAAACCCCACTGAATTCATCCCTGCTGAATTATACTGAATCAGAAAAATAAGAGTTTTCTGGATGAAATCAATGAAACTAACATTTCTAGAGAATTTATCATGTGCAAAGTGCTGTTCTAAGCATAGTGAGAAGTCTAAAAAAGTATAAAGGCACATTTGTAGTCCCAGTCTTTTGAGGATTTTAAAAAACATATTGAATAAGGAAGGATCAATTGTATATGAACTACTTACTTACTAAGTGTAGTCAAGTCGTCATCTGACTCATAGTGACCTCGTACAGGGTTTCTGAGGAGCAGCTGGTGAGCTTGAACCACCTGCCTTTCCGTCCAAGCTAATGTTACAGTGCAGCGCATTAACCAAATTAACCAACAGCACCACACCAGGACTGCTGTATATAATCGGAAAGAGCCAAATATGTGGAAAGAGTCTCATGCCCTAATTGGAATATTATGTTTGTTATAGATGAGCATTTGTATGTTTTGGGAAGTTTCCCATTCACCCTTTAAACAAGGAAAGATCAGTTTTCTTTATATTTTCACCAGAGACATAAATACAAAGAGGTATGTTCATCACTATTCCCTTACAATTCTAAAAATACCCTAAGTGTGAAATAAACATCTAGATTAAAGGAATTTTAAGTCTCAGAAAAACAAAAAGTGAATTTTAAGCAGGTAAAAGAAAAAAAGTCAAGTCAATTCCTAATATTTGAACATTAAGAAACAAATTGAATTATCTTCAATGAAGAAGTTGAAAAAGCACCTCAGTTTCATGGACAGATGCAAATAAAGAAAACCACAACCACAACCAACCAACACCAATCAGAGTGGTGTTCCTCATAGGGCCCCTTTTGAGGATTGGTAGAAACTGCTTTTTGAAAATCTATGTTTTTGTGTTTGTGCCAAGACCAAAGAGAAGAAACAGAAGAGAGAGAGAGAGAGTCTTTGTGTAAGAGAAGCTGCTTTGAGAGATCTAAAATCCATACAAAAATCTCATTGGTAAGGAAACTTACCAGATTTGACCTTCGATTTTATAATGATGGACCCAGAAGCAACCTCAGTTTATTTGGATTACTCCTATGCTACAAGCCAAATACCTGATAATGAGGAGAACCCCTTCCACGTTCCCTATACTTCTATCCTTCTTCCCATCTTTTACACAGTTGTGTTCCTGACTGGAGTGCTGGGGAACCTCGTCCTCATGGGTGCGTTGCATTTCAAACAGGGCAGCCGAAGACTGATTGACATCTTTATCATCAACCTGGCTGTCTCTGACTTCATTTTCCTTGTCACTCTGCCTCTCTGGGTGGATAAAGAAGCATCTTTAGGACTGTGGAGGACGGGCTCTTTTCTGTGCAAGGGCAGCTCCTACATGATCTCAGTCAATATGCACTGCAGTGTCTTCTTGCTCACCTGCATGAGCGCTGACCGCTACCTGGCCATCATGTGCCCAGCCATATCCAGAAAACTCAGAAGGAGAGACTGCGCATACGGAGTCTGCGCCAGCATCTGGTTTATCTCCTGCCTCCTGGGGTTGCCTACTCTTCTGTCCAGGGAACTCACGCTGAGTACTGATAATAAGCCATACTGTGCAGAGGAGAGAGCCTCTTCAGTAAAACTGACTTGGGCCCTGGTGGCTTTGATTTTCACTTTTTTTGCCCCCTTGCTGAGCATTGTGACCTGCTACTGCTGCATTACAAGGAAACTGTGTGCCCATTACCATGGGTCAGGAAAGCATAACAAAAAGCTGAGGAAATCCATAAAGATCATCTTTATTGTAGTGACAGCTTTTGTCTGCTCCTGGCTGCCCTATAATACTTTTAAACTCCTCACCATCATCTCTGGATTGCAGAAAGATTTCTACGTTTCCTCAGCCGTTCTCCAGGTGGGCATGGAGGTGAGTGGACCCCTGGCATTTACCAACAGCTGTGTCAATCCTTTCATTTACTATATCTTTGACAGTTACATCCATCGGGCCATTGTGCACTACTTGTGTCCCTGCCTGAAGAACTATAACTTTGGGAGCAGTACCGAGACATCAGATAGTCACCTCACTAAGGCTCTCTCCAATTTCATTCACACAGAGGATTTTGCTAGAAGGAGGAAGAGATCTGTGTCACTCTAAAAGTGAACTGTGACATTTCAAGCTGGTGGGTTGAGGAGTTACTTTTTGTCAGCAACAAACACAAGAAAAGTACTGGTGTTGGGGTTCATGTTGTTACCTAAATACAAGGAAGAACTGATTTTTTTTTTTCCAAAGAACTCAGAATGCCCTGTGTTTGTGGATACAATTAAGAGTTGCAATAGATAAAACTAAGACATGCAATTTTTTCAGCTAAATGTCCTTATTTAACCTTTGCCAGTCAAGTTCACCAGACACAATTCAACTCTCATCTGTCCTTGAACTCTTAGACAAAGGTTAAGGTTCCTGCTTGACTCAGTTGCTTTCTTTATGATTGTCAACACACATTCAGGTCCTGTTTTCTCTCAAAAATCTGATACCTTGGTCCACATCATCTTTCATACTGGATTTTAAATTGAACAACAATTAAAAGATTCTGTCTTCCAACAGTGTCTTTCATCTGATGCCCCTTCACAATTCTTTGGACCAGCTAAAAGCTCATGGAGATAAAATCATTTTGTGCTGTGGACTTGGATTTGGGACTTACTTTACCACCTGGTATTCTAGAATATTTTAACAATAAGCAGAAGGCAAGTCTTGACCTTTATTTGCCTTATACATTGATTGAAATGTATTATGTTTTATAATGTGGTAACTACTTTTTAATGGGGGTTTACTATGCTCTTTTGTTTTCATTGCCTTTATAAATTAGGATATGACTTCACTTTAATTACATGTTTTAAAATACTCAGTTAAGTACTTAGCAAATGAAAATATTACTACTAAGCTAATTAGAGGCCATCAAATGTTTAACTCCACCCCATGTGAATGCATTATTGTATATTTTCATTAAAATGATAATGTTACACTATCATTTGTATTTTGTATATGACTTCAAGAAGTGATCCAGTAATATAGGAAAAAATCATTATCTGTATTTAGCCCAACAGAAACCTATAATAAAGATACTACTTGAATTTTTAACTGTTCCAAGCCCAGAGACCTTTCTAAATTCATTCACCTAATAAATAGTTATTGAGTTAATGTGTACCTATATTTCTCATAAAACCTTTGAAGTGAAAAATACATAATTAGCAGCAACACAACTGGATGGCACTTAACAACAACAAAAGGCTTTGCATTAACAAACGTGCTTTTATAAATATCTTTTGATTCAAGACAAAGTGTGTGATATACATGTATTTTTCCCCTACTGTTGTCCCAAATGAATTATAATTTTATTTATATTAAGTTAGAAAATCAGAGAAAACTTAGAATTTTTTCAGAGCTAGGTAATTAATTTTATATTAAGAGAATTCTCAAATATTAAGTATCCTCTTATAATATATTTCAAAATAACAAATCCATTGTTGATTCTGACACAGAGACACTGTGGAACTGAGTTGAAATGTTTCAAAGCATTTCCAAGGCTGTAAATCTTTACAGTAGCAGACTGCTTCATTTTCCTTCTGCAGAGAGATTAGTGGACTCAAACACTTGACCTTTCAGTTATAGGGCCACCAGGGCTCCGGTAAACAATAAAAAGTTGGAAATATAATTTTGGTTTTAGAAATGAGATAATTTCCTTTAACCTTTTATTAAATAAAAAAATATTTTAAAGTATTCTTCTATATTTTAAAACATCTACCAACATACTAATACTAATACTCTAATAGCATTTTATTAACTGTGGTTATAGAGGAAAGAAGATTGAAAATAATAACAAAGAATGTGTCTTGGAAAACTTCAAAACTGTTTAATAGATTTCTACTGGTTAATCAAAACCAGAAGATAAAACCATACCCTTCTTTAAAACAAATGAACAAAAACAGTTTTACCAATCATGTAAACCCAGTGTCTTTGAGAAATGAAACCATAAAAAACAAACAAACACCTAAATCAGCTAAAGTATTCATTGGGAAATGATAAAATTTGGATTATTAGTTCTGGATTAACCTTTAATGTTGAGACACTGAACAAGTTAGTTTAATCTTTTCATACCTTAAACTGGTAATATCTATGGCGCTGTAGGATAAGTTCTGGACTGCAAGGTCAGTTTGAACCACAAGCTCAGTGATTCAAACTTAGCAGCAGCGACTTGGAAACCCTATACAGGGTTACTATGAGTCAGAACCCACTTGACGACACTTAACAACAACAACAACATAGAATTTCCAAGGACATTGTAAGACTAATAAGTATAAATAAATACAGGTAAAACATGTATAGATAATTCAATTCATAAAGCAACTGAATTTCTATTACTAATTACTGAATGTTGCTTACAAATGTCCAAACTACAGTGTCATTTTATCCCTTTAGTTTTTACTGTAAATATTTAAGGTAACATGAAAAAAATTATATTGTTAGACTTGGCAATATTTTAAATTGATATGGTAATTTGGCTTTAAGGAAATCCTAAGTCTATTTTAGAATGTTCTTATGATGGAAGGAAAGATTGACGTAGTTTTACAGATGGTAAAACTTTGGTAGAAAAATATTTAATAACTTGACCAAACTGATATGTTATTAGGTTATATATTCCTCTGGTGTGAAATATAATTTATAACATAATAGCATTAAAGGGTTTTTATCAATTATTTGGTTAAGTCTCACTTTACATATTTGTAAAACAGCAGTATTTTCTTGTTTTTTAATATGAACAATTCTTATTTTATACATACGTAGATATATATACATAGACAGAAATATTTCAAGATTTTCCATATCTTCATTAAACTACTTATATGGCTACTGTGTGATCATTTAAAGTCATTGTAGAACGGCCCAGGAGATATATGTTGCAGTTGACCGGGGGGGGGGCAACTGATTTGTTTTATTTATTTTTTTAGTAGAACAGATTAACACATATTGCCAAGAATTTCCAGAAAATGAGTCTTGGTCTGTAATATAATCTGAATACAACCATGCCATCCTGGTTATATCAAAAATTAGAAGAAGAAAAAAAAATAGTAAGATTAATGATCAAGAATCAATATCTAAAAAAAATCACCATATATTAATATTACCTGTCATCTACTAAAACAGACCAAAGTTATTACCAGAACTTTAATGATAAATATAAACTGATAGTAATCTCCCAAGTGTTTATCACATAACTTTTCTTGAACTTGCCCCAGAAAAACTTCCCCATTAAATCTTGGGTAAGACATCTGATCATTTATAACTAATTTATAAAATAGACATACCTAGGGCACACACAGTTGCTGACATACATTTATTCCATTTGGACCACATTGAGAAGATTTAAACCTGGTGATCATGGATTCCCTTAATTTGTCCACTCTAAAAAGTCAAATTCGCCTCGGTGGTGAACTTCAGTATCAATAAGCATCTTAAAGGGTAGCTATGTGCGTGACTGAGGGTGGAATATTAGTAAGGGTCAGAAGTTAATTTTTAAATAGATGCAGAAATGCACAGTATGATGGTAAGGTGAGTGAAAGAAATCTTCTCTGTATGATTCATCTTTACTCCTCAAATCACTCTCTATTCTTCGTATGTCTCAGAAGTAAGAAATGACTTGTCAAGTGTGTGTGCTACACAGAACAGTAAGATTTGATTTTCCCGCAGAGCTCATTCACAAAAGTCAAGCTATACTGAAAGAATTGCAAGTATACTTCTAAAAGAACCACTTGTGTAGCCTGCTAATAAGATGGTGGCCTCCAGTTCCACTAGCGAGAGAAGTGCCTTCAGAAGAAAAGCAGGAGGATGGAGTCCCTGGGTGCAAACAGTTAATGCATTCAGCTTCTAACTGTTAGTTTGGAGGTTTGGGTACACCAAGAAAAGAAAGGCCTTGTGATACACTTCCTAAAGATTAGCGACTGAGTACGCCATAGGACACAACTCTATCTGACCTAATGATAACTTGCTGGTAATTCTAACTACCAAATTATTTGCAAACGGTTGCATTTTTGCTCCCATGGATCTTGTCCCTTACAAATGTCTATTCTTATTTCAAGTGTACTTTTCTTCCTTTGAGTCAACATACTTGGTTTTATCAATTCCAGGAGTAAGAATTATGACTGTCGTTGTTAAGTGCCATTGTTGAGTTGGTTCCTACAGATAACAATCCTGTATAGGGTTTCTCAGGACCAGCTGGTAGATCTGAATCACTGACCTTGCAGTTAGTAGTCCAGTGCTTAGGATTTCTGAGGAGCTTCTGGTGAGTTTGGACCGCTGACCTTGTGATTCAAACCGACCTTGAGGCCTGGTGCTTATCCTACAGTGCCACAGTAGGACTCCACAATTATAACTCGACTTTACATACTAATGTAACAATTATTGAAAAACTACAGTATCTGTGACCAGATTTTATATTGCAGTTGTAAAAATTCACTTTAGGATGAACAATCCTTGTCATTTCTTATCTTTATTCTTTCCTAAATCAGCTATGTTCTGATAAGTGGAAACGGCATCCCAACATACACCCACCACATTAGAAAAACAAAACAAAACAAAAATACTATCTTAAATATCCATGTTTCAAACTGCCAATAAAGTGAAGTTTTTGATAAATTAGCTCATAGTAAAATATAAGCTCATATACAATGTCTGTTTATGAATCTAAACAACGTGGTAAGTGTGCTTCCATAGTGGTTTACAGCCTTGGAAACCCTATACAGGGTCACTATGAGTCAGAGCTGACTCAGTGACACCTAGCAACAGCAACAACAGCATTTTGTTAGTAGGCAGACACTAACTGAACCAATAATTAATTCTTGGTTAACTTTTAAAAGTATGAATTTATAAGATCCAAATGCTATTTAAAACTGGAGAGGAGGTTTTCAGTTGACTGTACATAGTTAGGTCGAATTAAAGTTAATGGAGGCAAGTGGCCCCTTTAAGGGATTAATGGTACAATGTTCGTATAATTTTTATAATACTCTGCAAACCTAGATAAAGATGTCATTAGCTTGACACTTTTCAGAGCTTTTTTTGTTTACTCATTTCCTATCACTCCCTCTTTAAAGAGAGCCAAGCTTCATCTCTGAATATCTCATGCTTGT